AATACAAAAATGGCAAGCCATTTAAATATATTGGACATTAATGTAAGATATATAGCTTTCACCATGTATAATATTTAGACATTTAAACGATGGAACCCTGTAATAGCAAATATTTATTTTTTTCTGATCTTTAATTTCTTCTTGATTTTCACATATCAATTGAATATTTAGAGCTGTGTTAGCTTGAACAAATTATTCAATATCTCCCTGGCTTATTTTCTTAAGTTATAAAGAGGGTAATAACTTGCCTTAACTATTAGAATTGTTATAAAGTTTAAATCAGTCAATAAGTGCAATGTTCTTAGCAAATTGCTTGATGCCGTGGAGAGTGGAGAACTGTCACAGCAGGGAACAGGACACTGCTTGATTTGACTCTTGAGCCTCCCAGAATTGTAAATTGAAATAAAGTTGTGATAACATTTTTCTTTCTTGGTGAAGTACTGTCATTCCACATTATCACCTTCATTCACTAATATAAGTGAAAGTTCCAGAATCACTTGTCCTACCTGTATTATATTCTGAGTGTTATTTCCTAAGGAGAATCATGACAGTATACAGATCTGGATAATATTTAATGGTCTCTCCTGTGACCTAGCCAAGAAAGGACAAAGGGAGGGAATAAAAACAAAGAAATTCCACAATTGCCTGAAGACATCTGTTGTACATACATAGATATCTATAAATTTTGCTTTCCCGAAGGATATAACTCATATTCTCAGGAAGCTGCAAGTGTATTCAAAGATTTTTTTGCATTAAATTTTTCTCAATGATTTGATGCCCTAGAACTGTACTACTGTGGATTGAAGAATGTATTATTTCAATAATAAGCTCAATCAAAATACTGCTTTGTTTAAATCTAATTCAAACTCCAGTTTTCTTCCTAATCCTAAATACCAAAATCTTCTCATTATCTTTGTTCAGTGACGAGCTGAATTTTTATATTTACAAAGAGTACTCCCTTATTCAAGAAAAAAAATTAACAAATTAAAAATAAATTCAGCATTTTGTTTTTCATATATTGGTGATTTGAGATTTCCATAAACATTATTCATGTGCAACATCTGTCCTTTGCTATTATTAGTTGATACAGAAAGAAAAAGAATGTAAATTAATAGTGCAAAAGCATTATTTGCTACACTACATTTCTATCTCAGTTATTTAGTAGTCCCTCTTTATCCACTAGGGATATATTCCAAGACCCCCAGTGAATGTCTGAAGGTTTGGACAGCATCTAACTCTATATATGCTACATATTTTCCTATACATATACACCTATGAAAAGTTTCATTTACATATTAGGCTCAGTAAGAGATGAACCACAATAAACAATAATAAATACAATTATAGCAATAAAAGCTGCATGAAAGTGGTCTCTGATTTCAAAATATGTCAATAGGATGTACTCACTTATTTTCTGAATGCAGTTGGCTGTGCATAAGTGTAACCATGGAAAATGAAACCACCATGGACAAGGGGTCACTACTGCACTCAGTTGCTCCATTTTAGTGACAGGACACAGGTAAGGAAGCTGTTCTCCATTTCTTAATGTGAGAGGTACTAGCTTCTGGATAGAGGTAGGAAGGCATCCCACCTGTGAACAAAAGGATTTCACACATGACAGTTCAAAGTTCCCAAGTGACTTTGAAGATCTGAATTTTGAAATAATGTGAAGATTGCCAGTAAAGTTTACCCAGGACAGACATAAGAGAATACTGCTCTCAGAAAATAGGTGCAAAACATTTTTGACTGAAGTGCTGAGGTGAAAATTTTTATTCACCATGGACCCTGAAAACTCACATTGTGTTCCTCAGGGTAAAACTTTTTTTTTTTTTTTTTTTTTTCCATCTGCCAGACTTAGTGCTTCTTAAGCTTCAAACTGATTAAATAAATGAGGCTCCTGTCACAGAAAGGATTTTTGCTTCTGAACTCTAACCTGATAACACACTTCTCTTCCCTCCTTTTCTCCTGAGCCTTCTCCTTTTGATCCAGCTCCTTACAAAACATGCCTATATTTCATTTTCTCTTCTCAAATCAAGGCTTAAATTATTCTTCGGAAAGAACTTAGCATGACCCTTCCAATTTCAGCCCCAACAGTTAGTCACATAAACTGTTTTTTTAGATTATCTGAGGATGTGTAAATATTTCTCTATAAAATTATAAACGTCCTTCTAGACAAACATCTCCAATTGACTTATAAATAATTTCTGGCAAAAGAACCTAAAAATTAAAACCACAGTTGAGCTTCAATGCTATCATGCCCCATAGTTTTCTTGCCCATGCCTCATGTGCACAGTGATCCTTCTGGTCTACATCCCTCTATTCAAAATCTTAGAGCACTTTTAGGAAAAGAATAAGTCAAATTGTCCCTGTTCGCAGATGACATGATTGTATATTTAGAAAATCTCATTGTCTCAGCCCAAAATCTCATTAAGCTGATAAGTAACTTCAGCAAAGTCACAGGATACAAAATCAATGTGCAAAAATCACAAGTATTCCTACACACCAGTAACAGACAAACAGAGAGCCAAACCATTAATGAACTCCCATTCACAATAGATTCAAAGAGAATAAAATACCTAGGAATCCAACTTACAAGGGAATGTAAAAGACCTCTTCAAGGAGAACTACGAACAACTGCTCAGTGAAATCAAAGAAAACACAAACAAATGGAAGAACATACCATGCTCATGGATAGGAAGAATCAATATGCCATACTGCCCAAGGTAATTTATAGATTCAATGCCATCTCCATTAAGCTACCAATGACTTTCTTCACAGAATTGGAGAAAAACTGCTTTAAAGTTCATATGGAACCAAAAAAGACCCCACATTGCCAAGACAATCCTAAACCAAAAGAACAAAGCTGGAGGCATCATGCGACCTGACTTCAAACTACACTACAAGGCTACAGTAAGCAAAACAGCATGGTACTGGTACAAAAACAGAGACATAGACCAGTGGAACAGAACAGAGCCCTTAGAAATAATACCACACATCTACAGCCATCTGATTGTTGACAAACCTGACAAAAACAAAAAATGGGGAAAGGATTCCCTATTTAATAAATGGTGCCGGGAAAATTGGCTAGCCATAAGTAGAAAGCTGAAACTCGATCCTTTCTTTACTCCTTACATGAAAATTAATTCAAGATGGATTAGAGACTTAAATGTTACACCTAAAACCATAAAAACCCTAGAAGAAAACCTAGGGAATACCATTCAGGACATAGGCATGGGCAAGGACTTCATGTCTAAAACACCAAAAGCAACGGCAACAAAAGTCAAATTTGACAAATGGGATCTAATTAAACTAAAGAGCTCCTGCACAGCAAAAGAAACTACATCAGAGTGAACAGGCAACCTACAGAATGGGAGAAAATTTTTGCAACCTACTCATCTGACAAAGGGCTAATATCCAGAACCTATAAAGAACTCAATCAAATTTACAAGAAAAAAACAAACAGCCCCATCAAAAAGTGGGCAAAGGATATGAACAGACACTTCTCAAAAGAAGACATTCATACAGGCAACAGATACATGAAAAAATGCTCATCATCACTCACCATCAGAGAAATGCAAATCAAAACCACAATCAGATACCATCTCACACCAGTTAGAATGGCATTCATTAAAAAATCAGGAAACAACATGTACTGGAGAGGATGTGGAGAAATAGGAACAGTTTTACACTGTTGTTGGGACTGTAAACTAGTTCAACCATTGTGGAAAACAGTGTGGTGATTCCTCAAGGACCTAGAACTAGAGATACCATTTGATCCAGCCATCCCATTACTGGGGATATACCCAAAGGATTATAAGTCATGCTGCTATAAAGACACATGCACACGTATGTTTATTGCAGCACTATTCACAATAGCAAAGACTTGGAATCAACCCAAACGTCCATCAGTGACAGACTGGATTAAGAAAATGTGTCACATATACACCATGGAATACTATGCAGCCATAAAAAAGGATGAATTTGTGTCCTTTGTAGGGACACGGATGCAGCTGGAAACCATAATTCTCAGCAAACTCTCGCAAGAACAGAAAACCAAATACCACATGTTCTCACTCATAGGTGGGAATTGAACAATGAGATCACTTGGACACAGGAAGGGAACATCACACACCAGGTTCTATTGTGGGCGGGGGGGGGAGGGATAGCATTAGGAGATATACCTAATGTAAATGTCAAGTTAATGGGTGCAGCACACCAACATGGCACATGTATACATATGTAACAAACTTGCACGTTGTGCACATTACCCTAGAACTTGAAGTATAATAATAAACAAAATGAAAAAAAAAAATCTTAGAGCAGACAATTTGATTGGTTTTAAAAGTTTTTATAAAGTGCCAACTCTGTAAAGTGCTTATTTCTGAAAATAAAAATAAGTCTTCACTCACATACATAAATAAAAAATACTTATTGAAACTATCAGTTATTCTGAGTTTTTGGAAACACTTGAATTACTTTATGTTTTGAGTGAGATAAAGACATTTACAAAATCCTTTTCCAAAGTGAATTTTTACAAATAAATTACCAGTATCAGTTTTTAGGAATGCTTATGTGAATTCAATTTAAATTAGAGAACCAGAGAGATAAGGCCAATGAGTCATACAATGAACTACCTCTGAAATTCATAATTTAATTAAGTAGTACAAGATGCTTTCATGAAACAACTCTTTTCCTTTTAAATGCAAGAATTCACAAAACATAGATTCAATATTTGCTCAAGAAAATCTACCATTAGTAGACAGGTAGAATTTATGTGCTAACTGTGTAAATGTGAGAGTGTGTTGTATTGTTTCCTGTTTTTCCTCTACTTAATATTATTTCTGTTAATGAATAAAGAACTTCATTTGAATAAATCTTAGTGAAAATTATATGAAGTATATATGCATTTTAATGTTTTGATCAACAAGTAGAGCAGTGTAGCAAATTATGGTATTCATGGGATCTAACTGGGATACAACAGAATTTTTCACTTCCTTCAGACTTCTGAAATGAGGGTGTAATAATAGACTCCTATTGCTGGGGTGACTCATGGGAGGAGTGTTTATGGAACTACAGAGGAAAGAAGCTAGTGGTAAGTAACATATATGATATCACTGTTTCATCTTTAGACTTTAGTCTGCAAGTGTCAATGCCTATATTTTTGTGATTGTGTGCAAATATGCTTATATATCTATAATGATTATATATGACATGCATGCAGATATAATAAACACATATGTGTATGTAACCCTGAATCTTCACTGTGACCATCAAGACAAATTTCCATGATTCCGTTATATACTCTTCCTAATCAATAGACCAGGAATATCTTATTATTCTTCAACGTGGAGAATCTATTTGTCCTCAAGATGTGCCTGTCATTTACTGTCAGCTACTCTTCAAAATTTTTCCATTATATCTTCAAGGAATCACGCTTGGTCATCAGATAAATACATTATATTCTAAGTAGCTTCTTTAAAAATTTGCCTTCACCTTCTTAGTGGAACTGAAACCTGGATCTCACTGAGGCTACTGCTGCCCTCATAGTACACCCAAGTGACAGTTGTTTTTTTCCACCCAAACTACATATTAAAGATCTTGAAGGCGGACTTGGTAACACTCATGCTCTCCATTATGGTTTGCAGAATATTATTCGCCTCTTGTCACTAAATGACTCCAGTCATAAATTTTGACATCATATTACACCACTCACTTTCTATCCTTTTTTGCTGTACATAGGAATACATACATGTGTAACTCTGAGTGTTCCTGTAGAGACTTCAGTCCCCGCTCCCCCTTCCACTATATTTCAACCTCACCATCGCAATCTACCAGGTCATTCTTCACCATGAATAAAAAGCTTTAGCACCTGGCTGTTATGCCATCAACAGTTAATGTTGCTTTGTTTCTGGTTACTATAGTATTCATGTTTATTATCTAATAATGTCACTATTCAGTTTCTTGGCCTCCATTTATCCAATAATCATGTTCTTCATTCTATTGCAGTTGTTCATTCCCACAGAAAAGTCTATCCTTTGTTATTAACAACATTGTCATCATTTGTGATCTCAATTTCAAACATTTCACTCTGTAACAACCACTTTCTATCTTCTTTCCAGCTCAGCTTCCTATCTTTGAGCACCAAGCAATTATAGCTACTTATCAACCACATCATTTTCCTCAGTTATTGTTGTTATTCAAGTGTCTTGTTCTTATTGAAGCTTTCTTTGGACACACAGTACAAAATTGCAACTGCCTACCTACCTTGAACTCCATAACTCTCTTCTGAGTTTGCATTCTACGATAGCAGAAATGGATGTATGGTGAAATTGATGATGCTTACAATTCCTAATTCCTCATTTGTACTGGCTCTTTCAAAGACGTTCTAACTAATTTTGTATCCACAATATTTATAATTTCTTTAAAAAATTGGCATCAAACTATAGAAGAGTTATAGAATCCATAAAATTTGGATCTTTTCCTGCTTAAAACATATCAATGCCAACTATATAGTTATCTCTTTTTTTTTTTTTTTCCACATATGTATTGCCTAACTTCCCTTAGTAGATGCAAACTTCATAAGGTACATTAGTCCATTCTCATGCTGCTATAAAGAATTGTCTGAGACTGGGTAATTTCTAAATGAAAGAGGTTTAATTGTTCACAGTTTTGCATGGTGTAGTAGGCCTCAGGAATTTTACAATCATGGCGGAAGAGGAAGGAAACATGTATTTCTTCATAAGGAAGCAGGAGAGAGACGTGCAGAGGAAAGCGGGGGGAAGCCCCTCACAAAACGATTAGATCTCATGAGAACTCACTCATTATCATGAAAAGAGCATGGGGAAGCCATTCCTACAATCTAATCACCTCCCAGAAGGTCCCTACCCCAACACGTGGGAATTATAGGAACTAAAATTCATGACGAGGTTCGGGTGGGGAAACAGCCAAACCAAATCATAAGAGAAGGGATTCTGGACTGCTTTAGTCACTGCTATGTTCTCTGTCTCACAAGGAATAAGTTGAATACGGTAAACATTTGCTGTATTATTTCTTGTTTCTCAAACTTATCTCCATTATTAATGTTGTGATGTTTTATTATTAAATGAAGAAACAACTGGCCAGGCGTGATAGCTCACACCTGTAATTCCAGCACTTTGGGAGGCCAAGAGAGGCAGATCACGAGGTCAGGAGTTTGAGACCAGCCTGGCCAATATGGTGAAATCCCGTCTCTATTAAAAATACAAAAATTAGCTGGGTGTGGTGGCACGCACCTGTATTCCCAGCTACTTGGGAGGCTGAGGCAGAAGAATCGCTTGAAACCGGGAGGCAGACGTTATAGTGAGCCCAGATTGCGCCACTGCACTCCAGTCTGGGAGACAGAGTGAGGCTCTATCTCAGGAAAAAAAAAAAAAAAAAAAAAAGAGAGAGAGAGAGAGAAGGCAAGAAATAAAAGAAAGAAACAACTACAATCCTGCTAAACTGAGAATCAAAAGTAGATATAAATACCAAGTTCCAAAATTTACAAAGTGGACACATTGTAAGGTATAAGATATAGAATGTAAATCATTTGTAAAGTAGATTCATCAGGGATACAGATACAATAGATTCAACTGCTTTAAAAAGAAAAGTTTTAAAAAATTATTTATGCTTCCACAAACAGATCTTGAGGGAAAAAAAGAGAAAAAAAATGTGCATTATGCTTAAAAAAATGAAAGTGATCCTGTGGCCCTGTTTACTCTGAGCGCAAAGGCAAGTAGCAATCCGAACTTGGTTGCCTAGCAACGAAGCGGCGGAATCCGTTAGTGGAGTAAGTTCAATGTAGTTTCACAGAGAACGAAATCATGCTTCACTCAGAGTCATTTCTAATTTCAAAAAGTAGTAAGATGTTAAAACTTTGTATAATTCCCCATATTTCCTGAAGATAGTGCAGGTGCATTAAGACAGTTTGTACAAAGGTGAGAATATAGATGTCATTTTGTTGTTGTTGTTGTTTTTTTACTTTGAGTTTAGTGTGTGACATCAGTTGGAGAATCCATAAAATAATACGCATTTTCTTAAGCTTGAAACGACTGTTACAGTTTTTGAAGGGTGTCAAATTGGCAATAAGAATTTAAGTTTGCGGTTTTTTATTTTCCACTCAGAAACTATATCCCATTCATTTAGAATCAATGCTTCCTCGGTTGAAGCCAAAGGTCAGAAGCCTTTGCTCTTCTTCAAAGGACCCACAGCAGTGAGGATGAAGGCCCCTGCGTAGAAGATGCATTATTCATAAAGAGATAAATCTTCCAGTCATCAAAAAGAGAAGCTGGGCCGAAAGAAAACTTAACAAATACGCATTATATCATGTATCTTCTTAAACGTCTATTTAAAAAAAAATCATTTCTCTAGTCCTTTTTACATTTCTGGAATGGAAATCATGGCAAAATGTTTCAAATAATTTACTCGTTTGGGAAAACCGTAGAATAGGGTTACAACTTCTATTAGCCATCTAAAAATGGGTACATTTTGGACATGCGTAGATTCAGGGTAGAAGGGAATTTAGGATAAGAGAACAAAAAGAGCAAAATCTAAGATACTAAGTGATGTAAAAGAACACTGAATACATTATTTTGACTGAGGTAACTGGAGATGAAAGGGAATGCTAAAAAATATGGCTGGAAATGCAGATTGCCATAAGAACAAGTAAAGATTATAAGGATAGTCTACAGAATTTGGTTGTGACACTACAGGCTGACAGAAAATAATGAGAATATTCAAACAAGTGAATTAAATGGTAATAGTCATGCTTCAAAAAGTTAAGTCTGTCAGATGAGTAAATGTTAAAATGGAAATGAGAGAGAATGAAGGTAGAAAGATCAGTTAGGAAACTACAAGAAGATTTAGTTCCAACAATGAAGTCCAGGATGAGAAAGATGGAAATGGGAATAAAAAGAAATTATCCCCACAGTGCTTGCAGAGGCCTCTTTGCTCATGTTTCCTCGCCTTAGAATGAAATCTTTACGTGACTGGTTCTTTCCCAGCATCCACGTTTTATCTCAAATGTTGTCTTGAAAAGGCTTTTTCTTACAACTGCCATCACAACTTTCATTTGATACAAACTGCCCTATTGGATTGAATTTGTAGTAACTACCATTTTCTGAAATGATCTTGCTTCTTCAGGTGTTGTTTATTTACCAGCCTTCTCCCCTGAAACCACTCACTACAATATAAGTGTCACGGAACTAGGGTCCTTTTTTACTTTTATTCACTTCACATCCACAATGTGTTGAAGAGTCCTTGGGATACTCTAGCACTCAGCAAATTATGTTGAAGAATAAATGAAAGAATGAATAGCAAGTGTCAATAAGTGATAGTTGAATAAATGGAGAAATCACTGGGATGAATAAGGTCACTTGAGCTCATGAGTCTTACATCCTAACAAATTTGTTTATGATCTATCCAACAAAAAGGAGTTGTCAACAGAAGTTTTAAAAGAGGAATTTTTGAATGTTTGTTTTACCAATGTTGTTGTTTTACCTGAAATTAGGGTTGTAGAATTTAAAATAAATTTTGAACTATAATTGTGTCTGTATTTGGTTAGGGAAATCACCAGTTTTTATAACCTGTGTAAATTGCTTACCTTGCTTTAACATCCAGTTTTCTTATCTATAAAATATGAATAATATTGTTTTAAGTATTAAGTATACTTCACTTTTTAAGTATTAAATACGGTAATTCATGTGAAGTGTTGAGTGAAGTGATTGGAGCATCATGACTTCTGATTATACATTAGCTATTATGAAAACTATTATTAGTCACAGTGCAATGGTTAAAAGAACAGATTTGGGGGCCGGGCACGGTGGCTCAAGCCTGTAATCCCAGCACTTTGGGAGGCCGAGACGGGTGGATCACGAGGTCAGCAGATCAAGACCATCCTGGCTAACACGGTGAAACCCCGTCTCTCCTAAAAAATACAAAAAACTAGCCGGGCGAGGTGGCCGCGCCTGTAGTCCCAGCTACTCGGGAGGCTGAGGCAGGAGAATGGCGTAAAACCCGGGAGGCGGAGCTTGCAGTGAGCTGAGATCCGGCCACTGCACTCCAGCCTGGGCGACAGAGCGAGACTCCGTCTCAAAAAACAAAACAAAACAAACAAACAAACAAAGAACAGATTTGGGAATGAAACTGCCTACTTAGAGTTTGCTTTTTACCGCTGCTGATTTATCTTGGCCTTGTTCTTCTTGTTTGTGTTAGAATTATTTTTTCATAGGAAGTTTGGTATAGGAGTTATGCATACAGACTTTGGAGCCAGACTGCTGGTTTTGAACTGTGGCTCTCACATTATTGGTAGTGTGTTAAGCATGTTACCTCCTCAAACCTCTGTGGCTCCCTTTACAAAGGTGCAAAATACATATGACAGTACTACCCAAAAGTGTGGTTATGAATATTGAAGGGGTTTAGTGGCATAAAGTTCTGAAAACTGTGCCTATATGTGTTGTTGAAGAAAAAGAAACCTAATACTGTTGTTATAAGAGATAAACAAATTAATCATTAAAATCAGATAACTTAGTAGCAATTTGTAAATCCTCAATAAATATTGTTACCAGTACAAACATCTACATTACTTAAATCATTATAGCTGGCAAAGATATTCTAGCAGTGTCAGTTCATATAAGAAAATTCAACATCTCTAACAAGAATTATGATCTCAACCACTGTACAGACACATGCATTTCCAAGACACCCACAAAATTGTTCCAAAATGTGTATGAGTAATAATGAATAGAGCACCAACCATGTCTTATTCAGTATTTTAGAGTTCAACTTTTATCACAAAGCTTGATCTTAAGACTAAACTTGTTCATTGAATTTATGTAGCTATGCTTATTTTATAAATGTAGCATATCAATTAAAATTTTAAATTATTTAAAAATCATTAGATAGGCATCAAAACCCAACAATTAAACCACATTGAGACAACACTACCCGCCCACCAGAATGGCTAAAAAATAAACACCCCACAACATTCCATTCAAGTAATAATTCAAGTACTAATCCTACTTGCAATATTAAAGTGTTTCTCCTCACTTTTATCAATAGTTGATGTAAAAAAAATCGTGAAATGTTCACTAATCTATGCATGTGGAGCAGTGTCTTGCCACTTTAGTTTGCATTCTTCTTATTAATGTGATTCTCTCTTTAGATTCATAGAAACTTGGGATAGTCACGTCTATATATGTAATTTTATATTCATTTTCTATTTTTCTATTGAATAATTGATAATTTTGTTTGTGATATATAAGTTGCTTCTATATTTTGAATATTATTCTACTGTTAGTTATATGTGTTGCAAATATTCACTCACTACTTGAAAATGTCAATTGAATTTAATTATGGAAACTTTTATCAAACAGTACTTATAATAAAAAGGTTAAGTTGGTCAGTCTTTATATTTATTGTGTCTTATTTGGGAAAGAAATGTAATTTTCTATCATCAAATATCCTGTTACTTTTTTTCCCCATAGGTTTTTCTGTTTTGCTTGTCTACTTCACTATTCCATATCAATATTCCTATATAAGCAAAGCCTTGCAGTTCATGGCTGATGGCATAAACTTTAGTCGAAGAGAGACAGGAGTATGTGGTCACTTTTAGCTTAAAGTTCTGTAGTAAGATTTCTCAAGGTACATTTCATTGACATTATTTTAGAACAGTAGTTCCCAAGGTTAAATTGGCAGTCCAGAAACACCAGCATCCTTTTGGATCTTGTAAGACATTAAAATTCTTGTGCCCATCCCCAAACCTATTGAATCAAAAACCCGGGGGACAAGGTTCAGCAGCGTATGTGTTAACAGTAATCCCTGATGATTCTCATATATGCTTAAGTTTGGGAAGGATTTCACTAGAACTCTACAATTATGTAATCAGGCAAAGCCAAGTGAGAATCTCAAAGATTTATAGATTTTATGGCTTTAACAGGTAAGAAAATGAAAAGGAAGGTTTTTTCACCAAGAGCAAGGATGTTTTTGAGTTATGAGAGAAGTCTTAAAATATCTAAAAATCTAAAGAAATATAAATCCAATCAAATAATACAGCAGCCAGGGTTATGAGAAGAAAAAACAGTATACATATATGACACACAGACATAGCTATATGGCCACTTCTTTCTTTAAATTATTGATTATCTGTTATAGACTATAAATTTAGCTAATAAATCCTATCATTGCTACAAAAGCAGAATTTAATCTTCATCACGGTTATCAAAAATGGTCTTCAAGAAAGTTATGCAAATTTAGAAAGCAATTCCCCAAAATACATGGGAAACGTTCCTCAAATTGTTTGTGATCATAAAAATGATCTGTGTAGCAGTTAAACATATTTTATCCAGAAGAAAATTTAGAATTACATATACCAATACTTAAGAGAATGAAAGTTAAAACTTTTTTTGTTAAATAATCTGTGCAAATATGGAATTTGATGTGCATGCCATATTTATGACATTCTTGCTGTCACGGGATCCATTTCCCAGAAAACAGACTGAGGCGTAATCTTAGGGGATGACCCTGCAGCATGGACTGCATTATTTAGGAAACAGAAATAAAGGAAAATAACAGTGAGATAAATAGAAAATGTTTATATAGAGTTATACAGAACTACCATAGCTCCAACCAGTCTATCTGGCAATTGGAAGGGAAAATAATTTATCCACAGACTCCTGTCTCTCATTGCCCAAAGTCTACTCCACTAGTCATGAATGCCACTGAGGCTTTGTTTGTAGGTTCTAGAGGGTATTCTTGGTATCTGCTGCTGTAGCCCAAGAAGAGCCTGCAGACAGATGGCAAGAGGCGGGGGACTGTATTCTCAGAGGAGGAACTGAGGGGAGCCTGAGCACCTCCAGTAGTGGGCTCTTCAATCTGGCAATGCAGTGACTAGGTTTCAGTGTCATGGGAACAGCACAAACTGCTGCTGAAGCTGCTCAGGCTAGAAAGCAAAACAAGCATGCAAATCTGAGCTGATGCAAAAACCGAGCACACAAGCCTACTACACTAATTGAATAAGTCTCATTATTAAAAACATGGGAGCTAGGCTTTAGGCTTACTCAAAGTAACAGTGAATATTAACAGTGAATGTTAAAAACTTGCAAGATTCATAAATAAAAGCATATGATTTGTATGTTTAATTAAAGACCTTGAGGTTTTAAATTTGTAAGGTTTATTAATTTTGAAAAAAAGATTTAATTTTGTCTATATCAATACAAAAACACATTCTGCTCTTTTATTTGAAAGAATAAAAGGGAAATAAATCTCTGTTTGATATAACTTCTTTCTTCAACTCCCACACAATCTCTTTGCTCCCTGCTGTGGTTTGAGTGTGTCTCCTCTAAAACTCATGTTGAAATTTTACCCCTACTCTGGCACTGATGGAAGGTAGGGTGTAGTGGGGGAGGTGTTGGGATTATGAGGGCACTGCCCTTCTTAATAGATTAATGCCATTTCCCAGGTGGAAGTGAGTGTTCCTTCTTACCGGAACGCATTGATTCCTGTGAGAGCAGGTTGTTATAAGCAAGTTTTCTGTTCCGGTTTTGAACTTTTCCCACGTGGCTGGTTCCCTTTCCATTTCTCTGTCATCTGTTGGCACAGGAGAAGGTCTCACCACCAACTGCCAAATGCTGCCACCCAATCTGGAACTTCCCAGACTTCAGAACCATGAACTAAATAAATTTCTGTTGTTTATTAATTATCCAGTCTAAGGTAGTCTGTGAGAGCAGCACAATTTGGACTAAGACACTCTCCCTCACAGAAAGATTTCTCGAAAAATTTGTACTCAGTGTCTGCATTTCCTCAACTTCTTTCTTTCTTTCTTTCTTTTTTTCTTTTTTCTTTTTTTTTTTTTTTGAGACAGAGTCTTGCTCTGTTGCCCAGGCTGGAGTGTAGTGGTGCTATCTCGGCTCACTGCAAGCTCCACCTCCCGGGTTCATGCCATTCTCCTTCCTCAGCTTCCCAAGTAGCTGGGACTACAGGCACCCGCCACAATGCCTGGCTAATTTCTTGTAGTTTTAGTAGAGACAGGGTTTCACCTTGTTAGCCAGGATGGTCTCGATCTCCTGACCTTGTGATCCACCCACCTCGGCCTCCCAAAGTGCTGGGATTATAGGCGTGAGCCACCGCGCCCAGCCTGCATTTCCTCAATTTCTAACCTCATGTCAGTACTCATGAAGCAAGTCAAACATCTTTTTTCAAGATAATGATAATTTACAAGTTGCCAAATTCTATATATTATCCTCATTTCAGGTAATCTTTTAATTCAGTGTTTGTAAGCCATAAAAAATTACCCAGGTGATTTCAGCAAAGTGCAAAAATAAATATATTTCATAAAATTAAAAGAAATGTTAACTACCTATGTTCCAGAAAAAAAGTGAAACCATGGATGCTTGTTAGGTATAAGTAGCAAAAACTAGTAACTATCTGTTTAGTACATTGCCAATAAAATAATAAAGAAAAATCAATGACAATTTTCCATCTGCATGTATTTCTGGAAGGTTTAAAGTTATATAGGCAAGGTTAAATTGACCTTTCCAGCCTTTATAATCCAGTTTGGGTTATAAAGCCATACATTTCCTAGGGTAAGGGCATGATGAGCACCTTGAATAACTGCCTGACTACTGGTTGTACAGTACTAACTGCAGGGTCATCCTCAATGAAAAATCTTTAGGTACCTAAAACTGGCGAATCATTGCTCAATAGGAAAAACAAAATCTTCCATACTTGACCACCGCTTATTTCTTTAAGCTCCTCTCTCCTTCCCTCCCTCCCTCCCTCCCTCCCTCCCTTCCTTCCTTCCTTCCGTCCTTTCTTCTTTCCTTCTGTCCTTCCTTCCTTCTTTCCTTCCCTCCTTTCTTCCTTCT